TCATCCGCTTCCTCACAGTTCCTCGCTCGCAGGAACAGCGTTAACTGCAGGAATCCTCCTGTGGTTCCTCATAGTTCCTCGCTCGCAGGAACAGCCTTACTCCCAGGAATCCTCATGCGGTTCCTTACAGTTCCTTGTAGGAACATCCTTAATCGCAGGAAACCTCACACGGTCTTCACAGTTCCTCGCAGGAACAGCCTTACCTCTAGGACTCCCAGGAGCTCTCACGGTTTCTGACAGTTCCTCGTAGGAACAGCCTCGCTTGCGGGAATCCTTACGTGGTTCCTCGCTCGCATCAACAGTCTTGCTTGCAGGAATCCTTATACGGTTCCTCGCACATCGGCCATGCTTGTATAAGCAGCCTTGCTCTGAGCAATCCTCGCGCGCACAAACCATCTTGCTCACGTACTTCCTCGCATAACCCTTTCCTTGTATAGATACTTCTTTCTTATATATATATTCACTCTCACAGGCCTAACCCCACGAAATTGACGTGCTTCGCGTACCTTGACCGAGGGCTGATCACGAGCCACCCGATGACCAAAACCTCGTATGGAGCTTGTTGCAGTCCCCAAGAAGTATATAAAAATGTCGCCATGTCAAATCTACCTAGTCGGTTCCCGGATTTCCCAAATATCAGAATCTTTTTTACTTTCCGTTCATACTCTCGACAACATTATCATTTTCTTCAGCATTTCAGAAATGTGTGTGGAACAGAGAATACTAGTCCGCTATGTCTTCAAGACCAGAGCCACGGGCCTGTTTTTTCCTGTGGAATGAGAAAAATATCCCAGGTACGCTTGTCATCCGGCCTAAGAGAATCTGAAGGACTGGAATTTAGATTGATTCATGGAATCAATATACCCGAGGTATATCTGCGCACCCCCCTCCCTACTAGGTATACTCAGAGCCAGACTCCGCCGGGGCTGCAGCTACGTACCTCACTACAGCCATACTGCTGCACCCCACACTTCACTCTGTAAGCCGACCACTGGTGGAACTCAATCTTGAACTCTCTTCTGCCCAATGCTTGTCCCGGTGGGATGACCAGTCACCATCAACCGAGGTGTCGATCGCGGAAACTCCGCGAGGTATAAGCTGATGATATCATCGGGCATTACTAGGCACGTGCGCATGCACAGCTCTGCAGGATGACAGCCAAGGTGTGCTCGGACAGCGAATGCATGATATGGCTACGATACTTGCCGTCTGCGCTTGTGGCGCATACTCCTGTTTCATGCCTCTGCTCACACATTTGGTGCCATATCCATCCATCCGACAGGCACGTTGTTGTGACTGACACCTTTATTTCCACTATCGGTTGGACTCGGTTGCAAGCTACCAAGCTGATGTCTAGGTGGTAGAATGAGGATTCCGATCTCTTGTAGTGCCTTAAGCCCGTAGTTACGGAGCCATTCCAGTCGTGCCAATAATTCTCAGAATTAGTTGGATGCTTAATCTTTCGGGTGCCTCGCGTCCTGTCAATCTTCGACAGCTTTATGTTAAGAACTATAGCCCACAGCAACTATTTAAAGATGGAACATCCGGTGAGTTTGACAGCACAATAGTCGGTCCAAGTGTTTCATCAGTGAAGTGTGCTGACTCGAATCTGCACGGATGCTTCCGAAAATGGATAAAATGCCGGCACACGGACCCCCACGACCGTCAATGCGAGCAATTTGTAGAAGCGTAGGATATTTGAGGCGTATGAGTTCTCAGTAGCACTTTCGTGCTGAGTGTTGTAGTATTGTGGATGTAGATTTTTTTTTTCAGACCCATGTCACAGTAATTCAGTAAAATACCCCAGAGTCCTGCAGAATTCTGTAGACATGGGAGCAAGGCTGTGTGTAATTTAGGCTGCCACTACGCCGGGTTACCCCACACACTAAGCAGTGCCGGCATTCGCTAGTCGCTCGTCACTTGCCGTCAGCAACCACTTCTCCACCAGTCACCTGCAGCATCCCTCCGGGATTTTGCTATTTCCTCTACGCGTTTTGAAACCTCCAAAGTATCACGGAGCCAAGTCCGTATCTGCAAACGTCTCAACTATTGCACCTGTCTACACACGCCGCACTGATCCGGCGGCACGGCGACACCCCTGAACATCGAACAATTCACAACCTATATAACATCCAAAATGGCCGAAACAAAGCAAGAAACGATCGTCACATCTCAGGCGCTTAAACACCATGTACTCCCTCCTCACTGCCTTGTCGGTGCCGTTCCTGGCAGGCCTGGCTCATGGCTACGCCAACCCCGGCTCCTGCTCCGGTTCCTGCAACGTCCATGACCCAGCCTTGATCGTCCGCGAGTCGGACGGCAAATACTTCCGTTTCTCGACCGGCAACGAGATTTCCTATGCTTCTGCCTCCTCCATCAACGGTCCGTGGACTGCCATTGGATCCGTGGTGCCTGCCGGATCTAAGATCGACCTGTCCGGCAACACTGACCTCTGGGTACGTCGCCTCCGTGAATCAGTGTCCTAGTGTATGACTGCATGACTGCACGACTGTACACTGCACACTGCACACTGCATCCATGCTAACCAGCGCAGGCCCCCGATCTTAGCTACGTCGATGGAACCTACTACTGCCTCTACTCCGTCTCGACCTTTGGCTCCCAGGACTCCGCCATTGGAGTGGCCTCGTCCACCACGATGGAGCTGAACACCTGGACCGACCACGGGTCCGTGGGCGTCGCCTCCTCGTCCTCTAAGAACTACAACGCCATCGACGGCAACCTCCTCGTGGACGGCAGCTCATACTACCTCCAGTTCGGCTCCTTCTGGGGCGATATCTACCAGGTCAAGATGGCCTCGCCCCTCAAGACGGCCGGCTCGGCCTCCTACAACATCGCCTACAACGCGACGGGCACCCACTCGGAGGAGGGCTCCTACCTGTTCAAGTACGGCAGCTACTACTACCTCTTCTTCTCGTCGGGCACCTGCTGCGGCTACGACACCTCCCGCCCGGCCCAGGGCGAGGAGTACAAGATCATGGTCTGCCGCTCCACCAGCGCGACCGGCGGATTTGTAAGTTGTCGACGGAAACCACTTTGAGACGAAGCTGACCCGCGTAGGTGGACAAGAATGGCAATGCTTGCACGGAAAGTGGTGGCACGATTGTGCTCGCCAGTCACGGCACCGTCTATGGACCGGGTGGACAGTAAGACTCCCCTGACAGACACAAGAAAATCGCTAACTGGAATAGGGGTGTGTATGACGACCCAACCTACGGCCCTGTGCTCTACTACCACTATGTCGACACTACCATTGGTTACGCCGATGACCAGAAGCTGTTTGGGTGGAACACCATTGACTTCTCGAGTGGCTGGCCTGTTGTGTAGGTGACTACTAGGTAAACTAGGGGGTGAATATGGTTGTAAATAGGTGGAACTGCAGATGTAAATAGTTTAGCTCTGGTTATAAGTGCCAATTTGAAGAGTAGATCAGTGTGGAAGCAAATCCCTTGTCCCTGCCTGAGGCGTCGCCATCGCGCTTGGTTCAGCCATGCCGCTGCTTCCCACCACATCCATCCACTTCTCCATCTCTCTCGTCAACAATTCGATCCCCTCCCCAATCAACTGCGTCAACGGCTTGTGTGCATTCTTGCGAAGATGCTCATGCCAGGGAGCCAACACCAGCTTGTTGACATTAATCTTGCTTACTCCCACCTCAACGCATGCCCGACACAGCTCCGGGGGAAAGTCATTCGTTCCGTGCAGGACGAGTCGTGCACGTCCGTTCAACGCTCGATACACTTGGCGGAGCCTACACGAGTCAGTCCAGAACGCCAATCATCCCTCTCAGCGACTGACCGATTCATGTCCAACTCTGGCCCTCTTGGCCCATAATCTCCATGCAGGTTTCCCACGCTGGGAGCCAGAAAATCAACGCCCGCATCGATGAACTGTTCCACATCTTCTGAGGTGGTAAGAATTCCTATAACTGCATTAGCATGGAATAACAATCCAACCCGAAAAGGTACCCTCTAGGTCGTCCGTTCCCACAATCCCATCCTCTCCTCCTTCGATGCGCCCGGTCTCGGCCTCGACCGCGATTCCCCGCCCGTGACAATATTCTCGCAGCGCCCTGGTCTTGGCGAGGTTTTCTTCCTTCTCGTGATGACTCATGTCCACCATGATGGAATCGAATGGAAGGTTATCCGCGACGTAACGGATCTGCTCAAAATTCTGCGCATGGTCGAGATGGACCGAGACCGGCACCGAGGCGCTTCTTGCTGCAGCGGCGGCCGCGTGAATCAGCGACGGGGTTTGCTCAAGCGATGAAGGAAACAACTGCAGAATCAGCGGTGATCTGCGATTCTCGGCCGCCCGCACAAACGCTGTAATGTGCTCAACGTTGTAGCTGGCATGGTGAGCCTCCTGCCCGGAATCTATACCCCGCACCACTCACACAATGGCCGCCAGGACACCATAGCGACCCTTCTCAGCCGATGCCAAGATCTGCAGCGTTCGATTCTTCCCTTGCCAAGTCATTTTGGTTGGTGGTGATCGCCCTCGATGACCGGCAGATTTTCGCCGGGACCAACAATGCTCATTGTCCCTGTCCAGTGCGTCGCACAGTAGGCGGTATGAATCATTTTAAATTTATGCTTAACTATTTGCAGCCACACTTAGTCAGTCGGTCACTGATAAACTAGCAACACCCCCGACCGCATGACATCGTGCATGCACCCCTACCATGGTCGACCCCTGCCTCGATACGAGTCAGTCCCTTACCCTTCCGTGGGCTTCCACTGAGCGAATTCCAACCACTGCATTGGCTGACGAAAGGTGGATTCCTGTTCGGCTTTTTTCGCTGGCTCCACTCCCGCGTGAGTCGGCAATCGTTGAACCTCGACGCGATCTGTCACCGCAGCCCACCCCCAAATTGTTCCAGCTTCCACCCCCTGTTTGCCCTTGATTATTATTTTTGTATACGGTAGCGCAGACGCTGCATATTGCCGCTCATGCTTCCCGGATGATGTGAGTGAGGCAACATGGCCGATGCTACGCAAGGGAGTTCGCGTGGCATTCGGAAGCCGCGAAAATCCCGCGGCCGTGGATTGCGGGCCACCACTGGATGGTCAGTCTCCCCAATAATCCTTCCGATCCGTCTGAGCACTGTTTCTCAATCCTTGCCGCCTGTCCGACCGACTGTACTGATGGTAAAAGTCTGATCTGCAAAAAGCGTCATGTCAAATGCGACGAGGTTCGTCTTCCGACCAATCTACAGTCTGCTTGTGCTGACATGAACGCAGGCTCGCCCACAATGCGGTCCGTGTGCCAAAGGCAAGCGTGACTGTGTCTATGGCACTGGCACCACGAGTCATCCTCAAGCTCCTGGCTCGGGGCCAAACACTGCTCCTGCTCTCGCCATCCATAAACCTCCCTCAATAGAGCACCTGCCGGTGCGAAGCCAAGTGCATGAGCCGCTGCAAGTCCTGGTTGATGCTTGTCAGCAACAACCTCCCGCACCCGAAACACGGCCCTTGGCTCGTTCCGCCTCCATATCAGCATCGCCAGGTGTCTCAACAAGCCAGACACTGACACCGGCCTTTCCATCCCATCATAGTAACCATCTCACTTCGCCACCCTCGACCCACGATTTAGCACCGTCTCCTGCGACAGATTCCTCCGTCTCCTCGAGACTGGCCCCTCTCAGCTGGTTCGAGTTATTGGCCAACGATGCCGTCAATGCGGATCGCAGTCTGGTCCTGTCTCCTGCCCCAGGGGACCATCTCGCCGGAGCAGTATCCTTAAACAACTTCCTTCCACGCTCCAAGAGGGAGTGTGAGAGTTTTCAGGCTGCAGCTTTCAGACGCGACCCCGAGCTGGAGAATCGTCTACCCACGTCAACCACCGACCAGCAGCCCGTCCGCCCCGATCACCCTTCGTCATGGTCCACCCCGGCTCCAATCGAGTTGACGGAATTGGAGCACCTGCTCTTTAGCCACTTTGTGCGGAATGTAAGCCGCTGGTTCGACTTCTACGACCCCGGGCGCCACACAGCATCGATAGTCCCTCAGCTTGCTGTAAGAAACACGGGGTTGATGAAAGCCCTTCTGGCTCTTTCAGCCCGCCACCTGTCAATTTGGCATGCTAGAAAAGACCAAGGACGGGGTGCCGGCTTTGTTATGCCTGGATCGTCGAAGAGTTTTGCGGATTTCCCGGCCGTGGATCGCCACCTGGCCGTCCAGTATTACTATGAAACCTTGAATTACCTCAACAAAGCGATGCAGTACCCGAGCTACGCATCCAGCCGCGAGCTGATATCGACTGCCTTGCTGATCAGCACGTACGAAATGGTGGATGGATCCAACAGTGACTGGGAACGACATCTGAAGGGGGTGTTTTGGATACAACGATTCCAAAACAACAACGGCGATTGCGGTGGCCTGCGTCAAGCGATCTGGTGGATTTGGCTGCGACAAGATGCCTGGGTGGCCATGCGCCAACGGCGGCGTCTGTTCAGTTTCTGGAAACCCGAGCGGCCCATCTCCTCCCGGACCGCCCCGGAGCTAGCTTGCTTTGCATCTTATCTGCTTGCCCAATGCATCAACTACGCTTCTCAGGAAGAAACGGTGTCGAATAACATACAGAGCCGGCTGGAAAGAGGTAACGAGCTACTCTGTATGCTGCAGGAATGGCAGGATCACCTGCCGGCGGAATTTAACCCCCTTCCCACTGTACAGTACCCGGATGTCTTCCCACCCATATGGGTCCATCCTCCCCCGTACGCGGCTGCTTTGCAAATCCATAGCCTCGCTAGAATCCTTGTTATCTCCAATCGCCCCCCGACCGGTGACTTCCAGGACTACCGGGCGGCACAAAAGATCCTGACGACCGCTGTGAACACCATTTGCGGCATTGCGCGGACCGTAGCGGAGGACGAGCTTGCCGGTGGACTGACGGCGCTGCAATGCTTATTTGGGGGTAAGCTCCCTCCCCAGGTGCGAAGGGCGACTCACTGACTCATGTAGCGGGAATGAGCGTTCACGCCCCTGATGAACGAGCCGCACTACTGGAATTGATCGATAAATTCGAGCGGCTAGTGTGCTGGCCCAGTTATTCGCTTCGGGATACCCTCGAGGCGGAGTACGCAAAAGAAAGCCTGGCTGGGTCTGTGGGATGAAATTTTCGGGTTGGACCTCGGCAATCTCCCTAATTGATCACCAAGGCCGATCCTCGGCTATCCACTCCCCCACATGGCTTGCGATAGACACGCCGTCATACCAGAGGAAGACCCATCACGCCAGGGAATGAAATTAGCCAGTGGGTTCTGGTTATCTGATCGTGGCTGATCTGACCTTCTTCCCGAACCCATTTTTGAGACCTCCGGGCCAAACTCGGGTGGAGACCGAGACCATCCTTGCTGACACTGACCGCGCAGGTGTTACGTGGTCCTGCGGATGAAAGTTTGTGCCCATGATCCATTGTATAATAGAATGAGCTATGATGTATGATGAAAGGGATAGACCCGTATTGAACATCGTCGCGCATTGGTCATGCTGGTGGACGTTACGGACTGAAACAGCTTGAAGTGAGACCTCTTGAGCAGACGTACAACATACGGTATAGACCAGTGGAACAATCAGTAGCATCAAGTCACTGAAGTCACTGTAGTCACTGTGATCACTGTAGCCATGGTAGCGGGTTTTTCGTAAGGCTAGGGATCGTGGGGCTTTCTGCCTCGAGCCGAGGCGTCCGTAGTCCCGGAGTCGATCCGCGATCGCGGGGGTTCAAGCTACTAGTACTATGTAGTATGTATTGCGTTCTCCGCCCTACGGCTACGGCCACGGCCACGACCCCATTTTTGGACCGAGCCAAGGCTACGTGGACAGGGACCCAGTCGACGTGACGTCAATCCTGGCTGTGACATGCCATACTGTATGCTGAGCCTCGAGCCGAAGTCGACTGGGGTGCTGATGTCGCCACGTCTGGGGATATCTATGAAAGGCCGGACCACCATGTCAGCGCATTAGCTGATTCCAGATCTTAGATGTCATCCCGGTCCTACAGGTACAGTACTTAAATCTATTCCCTACTCGAACAGCCATTACTTATCACCCTCTCACGACTGACCGATTCGCAGAAGCGTACCATCATGGCATGCTCCTCCAACACCAATTCCTCTCGCGACGAGGCTCCACCCTTCGTCAGCACGATGCCCCCCGCCGACTTCAACTGGCAGATCACCCTCTCCGGCAAAGTCATCGCCATCACCGGCGCCAACCGCGGCATCGGCCTCGGCATCGCGGAGGTGTGCCTCGCCAACGCGGCCCACCACGTCTACTCGCTGGATCGGATGGACCCCGGGGAGGAGACCCGGGCGCTACAACAGCGCTACCCGAACTTCCACTGCCTCGGGGCAGATGTGACCTCCCAGGCGAGCGTGGAGGCGGCGATCGATCGCATCGTAGCGGAGACGGGCCGCATCGATGGGCTCGTGGCCAACGCGGGCATGACGCAGCATCAGCCTGCGTTGCAGTTTGGCCGGGAAGAGATGGAGCGCTTGTTTGAGTTGAACGTGTACGGATCCTACTTCTGCGCCCAGATCGCGGCCCGCAAGTTCATCGAGCTGGGCATTAAGGGGTCCATCGTCATGACCGCCAGTATGACCTCTTATCGACCGAATCGCGTACATCTACCCCACCGTCATCGAAAAAGATTAAGTGTACTGTACTAACTGAGTTTGCAGGCCGCCCCGTCCGCGCCCTACGGCGCTACCAAAGCTGCCGGTGAGTTCCCTCAATCCAGATCCCGTCTCCAAATCCACTCCAGCTAATTCGGGAATATGTGTGGGGGGCAGTGCGCAACATGTGCCACACCCTCGCGATGGAATGGAGCCCCCACGGCATCCGGGTCAACAGCGTCTCGCCCGGCTTCGTGCGCACCGCCATGACCTACTACGTGGAGACGGCGCCTGACTGGCCTCAAAAGATAGAGAACTACGGGGGCATGCCGCGGCTGGCCGACCCGCGCGAGCTGGGCGGCGCCTATGTCTATCTGTTGAGTGATTGCAGTTCGTATACGACGGGGATTGACATTCCTGTTGCGGGGGTGGTTGGGGCTTGGTAGGTGTTCGGGGGGGGGGGGGGGGGGGGGGGGGGGGGGGGGGGGGGGGGGGGGGGGGGGGGGGGGGGGGGGGGGGGGGGGGGGGGGGGGGGGGGGGGGGGGGGGGGGGGGGGGGGGGGGGGGGGGGGGGGATTGGGAGGGGGAGGGTGAGATTGGGAGGGGGAGGGTGGTAGCAGGACTGGAGGGAAGGTTGTGATTGTTCTGGTAATGATCATCTTTCCTTCACCAAGTCGCAGCAGCTCTTGTCCAGAGGGTACAGTACAGTACAAGACTCTTTGAATAAATGCATTAGTGAATGTCTGTCAGGGGTCCAAGGCGAGCCAAGAAGTAAGCGGCATGGCAGTTCGTATTCCGCTGGCCTATCCGCGACGAGGGCCGGGGTCTGTACAGCCTCGCACGCGGAACATCCACACGCCTTGTTTTGCGTCAGGGTCTGCGGCGTGAGCAGTTTGTCACTGGCAGTGCAGTCGGATACGGGGTGGAGGTGGGAGTCTCGAGGGTGAAGACAACCGATAGGATGGGGTTCATTTGAGGGTGTGCAGGGCAATGTTGGCCCTCACATGATGTCTGCCATGTACATGCCCTACCCTGGTCAGCGCTGCGGCTGAGCCGGAGGAGTGTCCTTCATCTCCTCGATTTTCCCCTCTCCAGCTATCTCCGGTCATCCCATCTAGAGCCTTGATGTAAATCCATCCTCATCACCAGGTTTCATGGCGAAAGAAATGGAGAACCACGAATTTCCCTTCCTCGAGGAGGTCTTCACCCCAGCGGGACCGCCCAAGATCGAGTGCGCCCCTCTTCCCTCCCATCATAATTAATTCCACAGAATTGCAGAAACACTAACCAGGTGCAGCTTCGTCTTCGTCCACGGCCTCAACCCCCGCGGTCGCGTCGACCACCCCTACGAGACATGGACCCACGCCAACGGCACCTTCTGGCCCCGCGACTACCTGCCCCAGGACATCCCCCAGGCCCGCGTCTTTGTGTATGGGTATAACTCCAACATCACCAGTCCGCAGAGTATGTCCACGGCCGGTGTGAAAGATCATGCGAATACGTTGTTGAATCTGTTGGATTTGGAGCGGGATCCGAATATGGTATGTTCTCTCGCTACTTTGGGGACTGTGGTTGGGTGGGTGAAATTGGCTTTGAAGTAAGGGTTTCGAGGGCAGGGTCGACTTTGGGGATGTTTTCGACTTCCAAGACTGTGCTGACTTGGGTAGAATGTACGGCCGCCAAAGATCGTATTCGTGGGACATAGTCTGGGGGGGCTGGTGATCAAGCAGGTGCGCTTTTCTTGTCAGGTCTTGTGCTGTGCGATGTGCTGACGGCTGCTCCGGCTGGCTGATAGGCCCTGCTGAACGCCCACGAAGACCCCAAGTACAACGCCATCCGCAACAACACCTACGGGCTGGTCTTCTTCGGATGCCCCCACCGCGGCACTAAAGGCGTCGAATTGGGTAAGATTGCGGCCAAGGTGGCGCGATTCGTGGCCAAGGGCCATGCCAGCAACGATCTGCTCGACAGTCTGGAGCACAACTCGCTCTTTACGCGGCAGATGACGAGTCGCTTCTCCCACCAGCTGGAGGACTACCGGGTGATCAGCTTTGTGGAGGGCAAGGAGGTGCTCCTGGGGGGCGTGGGGCCTGCCTCTGTCAGTCATGTATGTATCCCGTCGAGGATGCTTCCTTGTTCCTGAAGGGGTTGCATCGAAGCTGTCCAGGTATCGTGTGCGCGTGCGCTGATGTGTCTAGCTGGTGGTCGACGAAGAATCCGCCGTGCTGGGCCTCCCCGGCCAACGCGAGACCCGCCTCAAACTCGACGCCGACCACTCGCAGATGTGCAAGGTGGGCGCCCGTGGCGCCATGTACAAGATGATCAAGGGCAACATCAAGCAGATCGCCGACCAGGTCCTGGCCACAGAGCAGGGATACATCCCTTCCCCCTCCAGCGCCACCTCGACCTCCCCCCACCCCGCGCCACCACCCATTCCCCCCCGCCTCCCCGTCAACAGCAGCATGCCCTACCCCTCGCCGCAGAGCCCACCGCCCATCCCCAAACGCGTCACCGGCGCCTTCTTCACCGCCGTCGACACCGACCCGCGCGCCCTCCAAGCCGCCGCCCTCAAGAACAACTGGCAATGGGACGAAGCCCGCAAGCTCGAGTACGCCATCTTCCAGGAGCACCTGCGCAACCTTGGGGCGGACCACCACAGCACCTTAGAGATCGGGTACCACCTGGCCGAGATCGACCTTGAGGCGGCCTACTACCCGAAATCCGCCGAATGGGCGCAGTGGGTGTCGACCAACGCGCAGCGGGTCTTCGGCGCCAAACACCCACTGGCCATGAAGGCGGAGAGCCTGCTGGGCGAGGTGCTGGCGCACCAGGGCAAGGGCCAGGAGGCGGAGTCGGTGTGCGCCAACGTGCTGGCGCGCCAGCAGATGAGCATCGGCGAGGACGAGCTCGACACGCTGCTGACGCGCCGCCGGCTGGCCGTCGCGTACGGGGCGCTGGAGCGGCGCGCCGAGGCCGTGCAGGCGCTCGAGAGGCTCACCGAGCGGCTCCGCCAGGTGCTCGGCCCCACGCACATCCGCGTCTACGGCGCGGTGCTGGACACCGCCGAGCACATGGTCGCGCTGCGCTCCAACGACACCACGCAGCTGGTCACGATGCGCTTCAACCCGGCCGTCGATCCGATGGGCCAGGCCTTTGCGGCGGTGTCGCAGGAGTTGATGCAGCTGCTGGGCGCGTCGCACCCGCTGACCATCAAGAGCGTGCGGCTCCTGGCCGCGAGCCAGATGCTCGAGCCCGACGGCACGGCCGCGGCGTCGGAGACCTTCCGGCGCGCCCTGGCGGCCAGCGAGGAGTATCTGGGGCCCGAGCACCCGGAAACGATGGCCACCGTGGCGCTGATGGGGGTGATGTATGCGTCGCAGGGCCGGATCGGGGTGGGCACGTTCGTCGGCGCCCACCCCTCGCACACGGGGCTGGCCACCCCCTGGCTGCTGCGGTATCTGGGGTGGTGTGAGACGCGCATGGGCGCCGACTGCGCCGAGGTCCAGTCCGTGCTGGACATGCTGGCCAAGCTGTACTTCGAGGCCCGCGATTACGTGCAGAGCCAGGAGTACTACGAGCGGCTGGAGCGGAGTTATCGGGCGGCGGGCAAGGCAATGCCCGAGCAGAGCGCGAATTGGTTGCAGCTGTGTCGCATGAATACGCGATATTTGACGCCGAAGAAGGAGGTCGGGCTGCAGGGACTACTGAGGCAGTTTCAGCGGATGTAGACTAGACTGTCTGGAAGAGGTGGCTGCTGCACTGGGTTTGTTTGCGTTGTTGCGATAGCTGAGTAGTTATACCATGCTGTTTATGAATGCATATTTTTTCTTATCATTTTCACGAGAATCCTTGTAGAAATGGGAAATGTAGCTGGTCTGGATCATCAGTTTTCTCTCAGTGGGTTCGCATTGGGTGTTCTTCCGCTATATGCTTTTGTTGGCGGCAATAGGTGAAAGTCTGCATCTATGCCCAGCAGGTCCCGTATAGTGCTGCATTCTCACCGCATACGGTGCCACACTCCCAGAAACAGCGGACAGCATTAGGTTCGACAGGCATTATTGCACCCAATAGGATCCCGTACCATTTCCCGGTCTTTTGGCATGTCTTTAAATCTTGACTCATCTAGAAGTTGGTTTTTTCTGTGACCGGAACATCGCGCACGCGGGAGATATATTCCCGAGTTAGACCGAGCCACTCGGGAATTCTGGGTCGGACATTTGATCAATTGACCGGATCAAGCTTTGCGCGATCGATCATTACCGATCTTGCTGGGACCAGGGATGATACTGTGCCATGTCATGGCATTCGTGCTGTTCAGGTGGGGAAAATCATCGGGGTGACGATGAGTGATTAGCTGCAGGTGACGTACGATTTCTGGTCCGATATCTCCTCCACTGGACGTCTCTACTCACTTTCAATTACCCAGGAACCTGGACTTACAACCTGAGCAGATCAAGTCCCTCTTATTTGATAACGGATAAAACTTTAGTCAAATGCAATCACTGACCCTGAACAGGGTGTCGACTCAACGGTGGAGATAGTACGGCGATAGTCTACGAAAGGGAAGAGGAATCATTTCTCAGGATATTATGGTAGTCCATTCGAGAGATTATCGTAGGTTTGGTCTGTATCATATTATACAAGCGCAATCCGCATCGTCATAAGGTTATCATCATCGCAAATCATCGACATCATCGCACGAGCATCTAGTTGGAGATCTTGTCGGGAACGTTGTGGCTAGGCCCGATTAGCTTCATTTGTTGACAGGGCCATCGAGGAAAAAGACTTACCCGGTGGAGCTCTCGAACTTGTTGCGAGCAAAGTCGGTGGCCTTCTCGTTGGTGGAGCGCAGCTTCTGGGGGTCGGCGCCGAATCTGCTCTCGATGTTGTCGACACCTTTTCGTCAGAATGTCAGTAAGGGCAGAGCAAGTGGAATGCAAGAAGCAGGAATTGGCAAAGTCAATGACCCACGGGGACGGTGGTGAATACGTACCCTTGTCGACGTAGTCTTCCTGGTTGTTGTTGTTGCTGCCGCTGCTGCCGTGGCTGCCGCCGAGCTTGGATGCGAGTCCGGAGAGTTTGTCCATGGTGATTGAGAGGTTGTTTGTGGAAGTTGAGTGGTTGATAGTTCAGTGATAGTATGATGGAAAAGAGAACTCCAATGATCAGATTCGACTGCTTTATATGTGCAGTGTATCGTTATGATCGGCAAGAGGTTGCAATGGTGGTGATGTCATGGAGATGATGGTGGTGACGATGGTGACGCCATTTATGCTATGCTATGCACCACATAAGGATTATGCACCTTGGCTGACATCGGGCTGATGTCATGTGCGCTTATGTCAGCTATGCACCGCCATGCTTATGCACCAGCCCCCGGCACCACCAGCCACGGCCAAAAATACCCCGCTGAGTCAGCGCTAGTCGCTCGGGTTGCCCGATTTGGCCTGGAACACTTGGCAGGCATTTCTCTTCATTCCCACTTGGTTGATTCAACGCACGAACACCCAATCTCCCCCCATCTCCACTGTTGTGCACTTGTGCACTGCTTTTCAGGGGTTGAGGCTCGCTAGTCTCTCTAGTGCTGTTCGCCTGTTTCTCCATCCTCCTTCGTACTCGTTTACCACTGCCATTCATTCGCTTATATCCGTCCATATCCGCCCACACCAGATGGTCTGCTCAGGTGCTGGTCCGTGACATCATGATCGAAATCATCAACAATCCATCCAGGGATAACTTCGGAGCAATGCTGCTGCCTGCGGACCAGATGGAGCTGGCGGACTCACTGCCACTCCGGTCCCAATCACAATTGCCCTGGTCTTAAGTTTCTGACCCCTTGGGCATTATTGCCAGCCGGCAGTCGGCTTCTAGCCGATTAGTGAGCAGTCATGCAGACCCATCTTTCAGCTCAATTTCTTTCGGCCCCAGTGGAGCTGCATCGCCCAAGGCTTTCCGGGGGGTCCGCAGATCGCCTGGTGTTCTCGAAGAATATAAGGGAATTGGGGAGTTCGCTTTTTGCACCGTTCCTTTCCTCTCTTTTCTCGCGACTTTGATCTGCCTCTCTCCTCCCCCCTTCACTGGTCAGGTTCCTCCCTGTCCACGCTCCCCTGTCGATCATGAAGCTGTCTCTTGCGGTCGCGGCAGCGGCTGGCGTCGCCCATGCCGCCTCGCTGCCTCCTGCGGCGGTCGAGGTGGCTGTTCGGGCGCTTCCCAATGCCCCCGAGGGCTACACCCCCGACAACGTGACCTGCCCGTCCACCCGACCCAGCATCCGTGATGCCGACAACCTCTCCACCAACGAGACCGAATGGCTCAAGGTGCGCCGCAATGTCACCCTACAGCCCATGAAGGACTTTCTGGGTCGCTTGAACCTCAGCGGCTTTGACGTCACCTCCTATCTCAACACCCACGCGAGCAACATCTCCAACATCCCCAACATTGCCGTCGCGGCCTCCGGGGGTGGCTACCGGGCGCTGACTAACGGCGCGGGTGGCCTGAAGGCCTTCGACAGCCGCACGGAGAACTCCACCAACACCGGTCAGCTGGGTGGTCTGCTGCAGTCTGCTACCTATGTCGCTGGTCTGAGTGGTGGTAGCTGGCTGGTTGGTTCCATGTTTGTCAACAACTTCTCCACCATCAGCAATCTGCAGGCTAGCGACCGGGTCTGGGGATTCTCCAAGTCTTTGCTCGAGGGTCCTAACTATGACACCATCCAAGTCCTGAGCACCTACGAGTACTGGAAGACCATCACCGATCAGGTGGACGGCAAATCGGGGGCCGGTTTCAACACCTCCTTCTCGGATTACTGGGGCCGGGCCCTTTCCTTCCAGCTGGTCAATTCCTCCAAGGAGGACGGCGGTGCTGACTACACCTGGTCCTCCATTTCCCTGATGGACGACTTCAAGAACGGCCAATACCCCATGCCTATTGTGGTCATGGATGGCCGTAACCCCGGCGAGGTCATTGTTGAGACCAATGCGACGGTCTACGAGGTCAACCCGTGGGAGTTCGGCTCTTGGGATCCATCTGTCTATGCCTTCGCTCCCTTGGAGTACCTCGGCTCGAGATTCGAGAACGGTAGCGTGTCGGAGAACGGTACCTGCGTGCGTGGCTTTGACAATGCCGGTTTCATCATGGGATCCTCCTCCACTCTCTTCAACCAGTTCTTGCTGCAGATCAACAGTACCGATATCCCCACGATCTTCAAGAATGCCTTGACCGACATCCTAGAAGACCTAGGTGAGCGGGGTGACGACATTGCCGTGTACTCCCCCAACCCTTTCTACGGGTACCGTGAGGCCAGCGAAGATTATGCCACCGCTGCCACCCTGGACGTTGTCGATGGTGGTGAGGATCTCGAGAACATTCCGCTGCACCCCCTCATCCAGCCCGACCGGCACGTGGATGTGATTTTTGCTATTGATTCTTCCGCCGATACCGACTCATACTGGCCCAACGGAACCTCGCTGGTGGCTACCTACCAGCGCAGCTTGAACAGCTCCGGTATTGCCAACGGCACCGTCTTCCCTCCTGTCCCGGATGTAAACACCTTCGTCAACCTGGGCCTGAACAAGCGCCCGACCTTCTTTGGCTGTGACCCGAAGAACCTGTCTGGTCCTGCTCCGCTCGTCGTGTACTTGGCCAACTCGCCTTACACCTACGAGTCGAACTTTTCCACCTTCAAGCTGACCTACTCGGACGAGGAGCGCGACAACGTCATCACCAACGGCTACAACGTGGTCACCCGCGGCAACGGCACCCTCGACTCGAACTGGACTTCCTGTGTTGCCTGCGCCATCTTGCAGCGTTCGACCTATCGTACCAACACCACGCTGCCGGATATCTGCACCACCTGCTTCAACGATTACTGCTGGAACGGCACGACCAACAGCACCGTACCGTCGGAGTACGAGCCCACCCTGTACCTGACGACCAGCGGCTCGGGTAAGAGTATGCTGCACCGCTCAGCGGCCGGCTTGGCCTTTGCGGTGACTATGTTCTTGGCTTATTAGATTGGGGGATTTGGGGATGGAGACTTCATGTACAAATGTTGATAGTTCTGGATATCTGTTGATAGTAATTGATGCGATGAAGACACGATTGATGGTTCTACTGCTTTAGGATTAAAGTGGTTGGAGTTGGTTTATATCGAATGAAGATTTCAGTGTTATTTCTTTTGACATTGGGCACTTCTACTGACGTCATGGGCCTCAGCACATCACAGATCTGTATTTCTTAAGACAGTCCTGCCTAGTTCGGTTCCATGTTTCATCTTACCGGGTGTGTCTCCTTTCATTTAACCAACAAGAGGCACCGGATATACCGACCTTCATATATGATGGCTGGTTTAGTTGACCAGCCCCAGCCATTGTAGACTGAAGAAAGCACGATACACTTGGAATGGTTTTCAACAAAGCTTCATCTCTATGTTAGGGATATTCACCAACACCGATCGATCCTCTTTTGACTTCCATTGTGAACAGAAATCAGAACAAGCGACCGATCAGCCATGAGCCCAGCGATAAAGAATGATGGAATATTTCGGTCGCCGGCATCACCAAAAACCACAACAACAAAGACCTTTCCTATATTCCCCGCGACAGATAACACATGAGAACACTGAAAGACCCATGAACAGGAGCGTTTCTCTCCATCAACAAACGAACATGCGCGATATAAAAACGTCTTCCTCACAAATCTCTTCCCTCACACTCCCATCAAGATCACATCCCAAACCAACATCCCACAACCAAGATACACCACCAAGATACACCACCAACACACCCAAGAGCGACCAGAATGTCACACCGCGTCCCCGAGATCCCCTGCTGGCGCGACCGCATCACCAGCCGTCTCCACCCGCTAGGCGACTACGGCCTGCTCGACATCGTCCAACAGGTCCCCTGGGGCACCGACCCAACCAACACAGTTGCCATCCAGACCTTCGTGGCCTTCATCCGGGGCCGGCCGTTCTTCTGGTTCATCAACGGCCCCAGCCCCGACCCCGGCTGGTATATCACCAAACTGCTGCTCTTCTGGCGCAGCGCGCTGGCGGACCCCAACTACCGCATCCCGACGGCGATGATGCTGGCGGGCGGCGGCTGTCTCGGCGGCAACCAGGTCATGTTCTGGACGTTCGAGGCGCGAGACTCGGCGGGTGAAGGCGGGCAACGTGTCGCGACCCGGTGGCAGCGTCAACGCCGCACCCAGTTCGATTGGTGGGCCGATGAGTTCATCACCACCCGGTTCTTCTTTGATGTCGCCGACAATGTGAATGCCGTCGTCTGGCTGCCTCCACCTGCTGCTGGTCTGCAGGATACGGAGGGGGAGGGGGAGGGAGAGGGGGGGAGTGCGGTGGAGTCTGAGGGAGGTGGTGATACTGCTACTGCTACTACCGGTTCGCGGGAAGGGACGCCGCGGCCGTTTGATACTATGGCGGAGGATGCGGGTGAGTATTCATCCAACGATCCGGAGGACAGTGGATCTGCTAACGCTCGTGGAAGCGCATTCCAGGCGGCGCGCGAACACGATTTGAATGAGAACGACGATGATGCGGTGGGATTCGCTGCTGCGTCGGAGACTTGGCATAGTTGCGCGTCCACGGAATACTTCTCTGCGGAGTCGAACGGAGGATAGGTCGGTGTTCTGGATAGCTTCTGTTCTGGGCTTCTGTGTCGAGATTTGGTCCTCCGAGCCATGGTGTTGATATTACTTCTCTAAGAAATAGAATTTATACTTCTTGTTTACAATCGTACGCACTTTGATGTGGCATTCCTGGTTTATTCTTGATACCATTCATATGATTTGCGTTAGAATCTTGTTTGTTACTCGGACGTTGTCGGATACAGGGGACAGCGGTTCGATACACACCACGCCGTCGACGCAGTCGGAAGAAAAAGGGAAGTAAGAACAAAAACAAAAACATTATTAGAAAGGACAGAAGTAGAGAGGTGGTGGTAAAAGAACCGTAGAGACAAACCCAGCATTGTCGGTTTATAACTAAACCTTCTGACCCGGATATCGTCTGCCATTACTTGGCGAGTAAAATAGTTTGATTTTTAAGCTTCTGAAGAATAGACAGAGATTCTGGCCGACTGCTGAGAATGAGTATTTCTCCCAGTAGGCATCTCGAATAGTACAGAACTTGTCGGCTTGAATAAGACGACAGCTTGCGCAGTATACACTCCAGTCATCGGGCAGGTAAATTGCATCGCGGAATACATTACTTATATTATAGATACAAGAATTGGCTTGAAAAACACCGCGGCTGGCAATCAGCAGTTTATGGACCACGCGCAATATATGAAATCGGATCGAAATAGAGCCGATAGACTGTTAGCAAAGATAGACCTGGATCTAGTAGTATAAGAGCGGAAGACCTATCAAATTTAAGATAATACTATTCCGCGCAAGCCAGAACTTGTAGATCGGGAATACATAGATCACCCGCTAATTACCGTTGGTCAACATAGCTGCTCGAACGCTGTAACCGAGTACCGTTAAATCAACTAGATATCAAAACTGGCCGCTGGGGTTGCTGGTCGCGGATATTTATATCATCTATAAAAACTGCTTGGATTCAAAGTAGACGGTATTCTGATTGTATCGCACGAGCTTAGATATACTACCGCTGGGAGCCATCTCAGAGAGGACGGTCTCAGAGGATGGGAGCATAGTAAGTTACCCATGGCGAATAAAGTAGTCAGAGATTGAAAACTGAGCTGGGAGAGGCGGAAATAAGCTGGACAGAGCTGGACGGAGCTGGAGCCCAAAGAGAACTACAGGATCGAGGTGTACAGCGGGGTGCCGGCGCGGAAGGATTGCTTGTACGATGGTGCACCAAGCTTGACGGGAAGAAAGACGGAGAAGTTGATAGGGCAGGGGAGGAGAGGAGGAAGGGAAGATGGATTGTAGATGAGAAGCGGCGGACGGAAAACCAGATTGGGTGCCTTGGATCGCACTTTCTGCCTTGAGTGTTGTGAAGCGAATGCCTCTGAAATATTTGAAAGCAGTCCCTCTACAAAGTCCCTAGTGTTTCTTTCCTTGATACTCGCACCACCCAGCAAGTAAGACCGTCTAACAGGGCGAACAATACCTCTAGTTAAGGACCATGTCATTATCCTATCGTATAGCCTCACAGCGGGCGTTCACAGCTTCGAGGGCAATTCTGAACATTTGATGATCCCTTTCGTGTGCTTGGTCCATCAAGCCTCCTCATATTTCCGGAAAGCCAGGGTCGGGCAAGTCCACTCTGATGAAGTACATCTGCCAACATAAGGCAACGGAAAAGCATCTTAAGCTGTGGTCAACAAACAAAGCCCTGGTGCTAGCCAGATCTTTCTTTTGGAAGCACGGCCGGACGCTTCAGAGCTTTCGCGGGCTGGTGCGAGGGCTTCTGCATTCTATTCTGTCTCAATGGCTGGAGCTCATACCTCTGCTGTTTCCCAAACAATGGCAGGCTGCTTTGAGCGGGTTACGACCAGTAATCGATGATGATCATGAGGTGTTTGAGGCATTTCGCAAGTTGAGAGAAACGGACAGTGTTAGTCTTACCCATAGGATAGCCATTTTTATTGACGGCATAGACGAGTTTGAAGGGAACCGTGCCCATATGATTGAGTCCCTGAAAGATTGGATCTCTTGCAGGTCAGCTGATGTCAAGATTTGTGTCGCCAGTCGAGAGGACATTGACTTGCAGGAGGCCTTCAAAACGGGCCCGATGCTGCGGCTGCACGAAGTAACTCACGAGGATATTCTAAGCTTTGTCTAGCACCGTTTGAGCTCGAGCGAGCTCTATCCCAAGATGGGAACATCAGATCAAAAGCAGCGCCTTGAGACGGAAATTGCATACAAATCTGAGGGTGTTTTCCTCTGGGTCAAACTCACCATCCAAAGAGTCGAGCACAGCATTCTGAGTGGTGACGCCCTAGAAGATCGGAGAAAGCGCCTTGGCTCGCTCCCCAACGAGTTGGAAGATCTTTGTATGGCCATATCTGTCGCCATCGATCGGGATGAGCCAAAATCAGCATATTCGATGATCCTGATGGCTCTCTATTGACCGGAGGATTGGCCACTATTTCGCTTTTCATTTCTACCGGAGTATCTTGCGAACCGTAGTTTGCGTTCACGAGAGACTGTGGTGTCAGCATGGCAGACGTCAGTTCACGACTTCATTCGGCCAGAAGAAGAATATAGGAGCTAAAACGGGAGAACGTTAACGGAATGTTGCATTCACCTTCCCTTGACACTCGACGCTGTATTCTAGAAGATCAGGACAGAATCTGCCACGCTCCAACCGCTTTTCTATTTCATTTCGGTGAAGTAACAAAAGTGCGCCGTTTTATCCATCCTGTAAGAGAGAGTAGAGTACGATAAATTCGATAGCTGACGCCCTGGGATCAGACAGAAGATAGAGTGATATCAGAAGCATGTTTTGTAGAGAATATACAGCAAGCGATAGACATCTTTGTAGAGTCTATGCTCGCCATAAGTGTCGGGGATGACGCCAAATGAGGTTTCATTCCCCGCCCGATATCGCAGCTGCCGACCGGGGAACGAACCACTCACTCATCTTACCATCTCCAACCACCTCATCTTCATTCTTTTTCCAACATGACTGTAGATACGCCCTCATTTACCGCTATTCCGGTCCTTGACTATGCTCTCGCCACTTCGCCTGCCACAAAACCCCAGTTCCTCGCCAGTCTGCGCCATGCACTGGTCCACGTGGGCTTCTTCTACCTCATCAACGCCCCGGTCGCGCCCGGCGTCCGCGACGAGCTGATGAAACAGACCGCTGCCATCTTTGATCTCCCACTCGAGAAAAAGCTGGAGATTGAGATGGTCAACAGCAAGCATTTCCTGGGATACTCGCGACTAGGGGCTGAAACGACCGCCCGTCAGACTGATTACCGTGAACAATTCGATGTGCGTGCCTGGCCGATACACGATGAACTTACAATACACTCAGTACACTCAGTACACTACTGACCATTTCCGCCAGTTTGCGACCGAGCTCCCTCCCCCGAGCCCAGACGCACCTCTCTACCGCAACATCCGCGGCCCAAACCAGGTACATTCCCACCTTCAACCCAGGGTAACAACCCAACTCACTGCACACAGTGGCCCGACGAATCCGCCATCCCGGGCTTCCGCCACGCCGTCGAGGCCTACCTGGCCGAAACCCATCCACTAGCAGCCGCCTTCCGGGGCCTCATCTCCGAAGCGCTCGACATGGCGCCCACGGCACTCGACCGCTTCTTCGAGGACCCCATCCAGCAGAAACTCAAGCTGATCAAGTACCCGCCACCCCGCGATGCGTCCGAGTCGCAGGGCGTGGGCGCGCACAAGGACTCGGAGTTCCTCACTTTCCTGCTGCAAGCCACGCCGCACACGGGGCTGGAGGTGCAGAACAAGGCCGGGGAGTGGATCGCGGCGCCGCCGCTGCCGGGGTCCCTGGTGGTGAACATCGGCCGCGCCCTCGAGGCGATTACGGGGGGCGTGTGCACGGCGACGACGCACCGGGTGAATCTGGCCATGGAGAACTTTGTCGATGCACAGGGGACGCCTCTCGGGCCGCGGTTCTCCATCCCCGTGTTCCAGGGGATGAGCCTGGATCTGTCGGCGGAGAGCGGGGCCCTGGCCCTGGCGATCCCGGCGCATATTCGGGCACTGGTGCGCGACGAGACGGTGCGGTCGGACGCGGAGGCGACCTTCAATCGGATTTTCAAAGGGAGGGTGGGCGAGGGCACGCTGATCCATCGGGTGATGAGCCATCAGGATGTGGGGCGGCGGTGGTATCCTGCGTTGCTGGATTGGGCGCTGGCGGAGTATGAGAAGTAGTAGTCGTCCACTTCCACAGAGTACTCAACACCACTTTACAACTGAGTACTATGCATGCCCCAGTAACAAGAAAAGGCAATGGTCGATGATCCGTCAGCTGTCAGTTGCCCCGATCAGCTGGTGGCCCTGGGCATCGATCTGAAACTAGGGTTCGTATTGCGAGGTTAAGCTGCGCCTGCTCGTATAGACTTGGCATGTGCACCCAATTAGAAGGGCGGGTTTCCCGCGATCGACGTCCCTGCGCTTGCCCCGTGCCCCAGCCAGATGCGTGCTGGGCTGGGCTAATTTAAGTAGCGAGCTGTCCCCGGCGGCGTATACTTTTATGCCCCTTTGACCATTTTTCTGGATGTTGGTGAAAACCACCACCACTATGGCCCAGCTCGCCAGCCAGGGCGGAGTATTCCCCCGCGCAAAGAGCGGACAATGTCGCGCCCACCACGCCTTCTCCAGCAGCACCGCGCGCATCACCATCGTCTGCTACGCGGTCTACTTCGTCATTTTCCTAGGGCTCTTCTTCTTCACCGCCGCGCGATTCCTCACCAGCGGGGGCAAGCGTAAATCGATAGCACAGTGGCTGCTCCTCACCATCGCCGTGACATTCATGCTGCTGTACGCACTCACCCACCCCCTTCTGGCCGAAAAGATAGCATCCTAATCAACGAAACGCAGCGCCCAAACCCTCGCAGTCATAACGACGACCCTAAGTGAATGCGCCGTCCTCAACTCCCAGGAGACCACGCAGGCCCTCCTCCCGATAACCTGGCTCATCAGCCTCGGCAAACTCGCCCTCTTCAGTCTGATCCTCCTCCCGCTGTGTCGCCGCCTGCACCACGGCGCAAGCCACCGGACCATCGATCGGTGGATCCTCATCCCGCATTCCGTTTTGGTCGCAGTGCTGGCGGCACTGGTGCTCGCTGCGCTGGGCGTGCAGACGCGTCTCGTCGAGCGAGTCATTCACCCCACGCGATTTACTTTCCAGGGGTTGCAGCGCTGGGAACGTACGGAAAAGAGACTGTGGGTGGCGGTGGATGTGGTGGAGGTGCTGGGGATGAGCGTTGCCGCGGCGCGCATGGGGTGGGCTGTTTGGTCGGCGCGGCATTTACGCGGTGGGGTATGTTGTCCATTCCTTCCTTTTGTTTATAGTCTCATGGGAGTGGGACGTTTCTTTTCTTTGTAATTGCCTGATGGTGGGGATTATTTAGTGGCAGATCTGTGCTAACGGCCGGGTACAGGAACTCGGCTTCTTCATTCCCCTGCTGATCGTCTCGTCGGTGGGGCTGGCCCTGACGGATCTGGTGGGGTATGTGGAGGGCCCTGCGTTTCGGAATACGCTCGGGTACGACTCAAAGATGGTCAGGGGGCAGCAGGCCAGGATGTACGTCGAGTATTTCTTCTACGCCGGGGCGGTGCTCAGTGCGGCGGTGGTGGTGGCGTCGCGGCGGGTGGGGAGGGGGGAGGCGAGGGTGAGCATGTCCAGTGTTCGGGGGAAGGGGTAGCGTAGACTTCGTATCTCAATTCTATGTACTGGAATATACCGTCCCGGGGGAGAACCCCCGGACCCCCCTTCTTTTCAGCTTCCCAGCAAGCCTGATTCTAAGTGCTGGGGGATTGTGTCGTCCCGGGGGAGAACCCCCGGACCCCCCTTTCTTTCAGCTTCCCAGTAAAGCTTATCTGTAGTAAGTATGACATTTGCATTTACTATATGCTATAAAGGATCTCACAAATACCAGGAATATCGTTTGCCAGGAAGTTGAAAAAAAGGGGGGTCCGGGGGTTCTCCCCCGGAACGGTATATCATAGAAATCAGAATGGAGGGGCAGTGTATGGCTGTACACAGGTGTCTAGTCCACCTCATCCCCATCGTCGGTCTTCTCTTGCGCCCCGTCCAGCACAACCGTAAACCCGATGACCAAATACTCCTCCCCGGTCGTCCGGTTCTTCAACACGTACCGCAACACGTTGTTCTTCTCGCTCACATACTTGCTGATATTCAGCGTGATCCCGGGGACATGGACCGCGAACTCTGCCACAGTCAGCAAACCCTGCCGCAACCCCAAGCAACCAAGCAAAGGAGAAAAAAAGCCTACCCTCGAAATCCAGATACGGATTCCCAAAGTCCGCCTCATACACCCGCCCCTTCTCCAACACAAACCCCTTCCGCGTCTCCTCGTCGCGGAAATACTTCGTCCGCGCCGCTGCATCCGCGGGCAATCCACAACTCTCCCGCACTGCCTTCCCGGACCCCTCCGCCCCCTCCAGAACAACCGGATCCGCTTCCACGGCAGCCTTCTTTGTATCCGGGGGAACGAGCTCCCCGACCCGGAACTGATTCCACGACGCCAACGCCGGGCTATACAGGTACGGTGTGTCGCTGTACGCGTCGCCGTCGATGGAGGGGTCGAGCATCGTTTTCACGACTTTGAAGGCGGCGTTGAAGCCCGGCGGCAGGTAGTCGCGGATCGGGTGGTCGAAGTCGTTGCCGAAGAGGAGGTCATCGCCGTTGACATCTTCCGCGAAGGCGAGGGAGAGGGTGATGCTGTACCGGTTGGCGGAGGTGGTGGGGTGCGTGAAGTAGGGGTTGGAACTGGGGGATCCCTCCGGATAGCCTGCGTATATTCTCGGGGTTAGGAGGTTGATTGGGGGTACTGGGTTTGGGAAAGGGACAGGGACAGGGACAGGGGCAGGGCAGGGCAGGGCAGGGCAGGGTACCGGTGTACTCCTTGATGCGCACCCAGATGTCGGCGGTAAGATACGGGCTGCGGATACGGATCGGGGAGGGTCCGTTGACGTGGACTAGTTGGTGGGTTTGGGGGTCGTAGCGCGGTCCCGCGGTGATGCGGAGGCGGTGATTCGGGGCTTTGTTGCTGCTGAACATCGTGTGTGTGTCTTTATGGATTAGGTAGCGGTTAGAAAAGATGTGCACGGAAGATTGTTGGGAATGAGAAAGATAAAGATGAACTTTGGCCGTGGGTGCTGGGGGATGACGTAGGTGGGGTAGCTCTTATCTTATCGGCCCTTGCTGAGATCAGCGTTGATCAACTACTCCGTACTGACACGTGAATGCCATCCATGGAAGTGTGACAGTGACAGACTTATTACACATACATGGTGATGGTACAACAGGCGGAATACACGCAGTGATTGTCTACTAAGGTAGTGTCCAGGGTGCCCTGTTTCTGGATGAGGGTTGGCCCGAAGAGGAAAAGTGGATGCCGGCAGGGCTGATATCATACTTACGCCGTGTTGACACCACTATATAACCCAATGCTTTATCCAGCATTCCCCTATCTTCTGATTTCTATTCTTCAGCACATACGCGTACAGAAATAATCATAATGCAGTCAGTTCTCCAACCCATCCTCGGCCCCAAGAAGGAGATCCACGACCTCACCGGTCGCGTGGCGCTCATCACCGGCGGGGCCCTGGGCATCGGGTAAGCTGCCCCCAATTGTTGTTGTTGTTGATGAACTGCTCGAACTAAGCAAGACAGCTACGAGGTCGCCCGTGCCTTCGTCCTCAACGGCGCCCGCGTCATCATGGTCAACCGCAAAGAAGAACAAGGACAGTCAGCCATTGAATCCATCAAAAAGGAGGCCGGCGAGGGGGCCCAGATCGAATGGGTGCCCTGCGACATGGGCAACCTCAAGGAAGTGCGGGAGGTGTTCGAGGGGATCCGCCAGCGAGAAGAGCGCCTAGACCTGGTGAGTGCACCCCCGCTTGTCCTTCCCCAAAACTATACTAGGTAGGCATCCACTGACCCCGCTGCTCCAGCTCATCCTCTCCGCCGGCATCAACGCCAACCAATACGGCGAGACCGCCGACGGCATCGACCGCCACTTCCAGGTCAACTGGCTGGGCCAGTTCTACGTCGTCAACCAGCTCTACCCGCTCCTCCGCAAGACCTCGAAGCTGCCGGACACGCCGGCCCCGCGCATCGTCTTCGAGTCCTCCGAGCAGCACCGCAACGCCCCGCCCAACGTGCACTTCGCCTCGCTCGAGGAGCTGAACAACCCGGAGGTCGGTAACACCCAGCTGTACGGCCGCACCAAGCTGGCGATCATCCTCGGGGTGAAGTACGGGCTGCTGGATCGGGTCATCAAGCCGAATGGCGATAACATATATGCGCTGTCGGTGCATCCTGGTGCTGTACGTTCTGCCGTTTCCTTGCTAGGGAGGATCATGTGCTGACAAAGGACAGGTGAATACGGCCATGCAGCAGCAGTGGAAGGACGCGTACCCCGGGATCTTCGGGAACCTGCTGACCAAGGTGATGCTGGCGGTGGGGCGCAACGTCGAGCAGGGCTCGTTCAGCGCGCTGTGGGCGGCGACGAGCCCCGAGGTCGCGGAGAAGGGGTGGAACGGGTATTATTTCAGTGACGTCGCACAGCCGGGCAAGGAGAGCAGCCAGGCGTCGGATCCGGCGCTGGGGGCCGCGCTGTGGGATCTCAGCCATCGATTGATCCGGGAGAAGGCGGGCGAGGATGCGGTCGTGGATTGGGGGCGTGCTTAGCGTGCTTAGCTGGGTTGAGGGTGATTGTGTCGTGGTTAAAGTAGTTTTGGTTATAGCGTTGACGGTTATCTTTATTGAAGCAGGGCTTTTCATTGAGTTTTACTGGGAAGTTGAAAGAAAGGGGGGTCCGGGGGTTCTCCCCCGGAACGGTAAACTCTAGTACTTAGGACTAGACAACCTAGGAATATCTATAAAGAACGATTCCCGGGGGAGAACCCCCGGACCCCCCTTTCTTTCAACTTCCCAATAACCTCAGTCTTGAATACTGGGGGAATGTACCGTCCCGGGGGAGAACCCCCGGACCCCCCTTTCTTTCAGCTTCCCAGTATCACGAATATCCCTATACTCCACTGTCCACCCCACCCAAGAACGCCGCTTACTCCCCCACCACCGCGGTGATCCTCGCATAGACGGTCGGAAACCCCCGGCGCGTCACCTGCAGCACCGTCTCGGCCACCATCTCCATATCCTCGGGCGTGGTATCGAACAGCTCGAACTCGAACCGGCGCACCAAGTACGCCAGCGCCAGGTACAGCTCGTTGTACGCGAGACTAGCCCAGCGGCTAACGTTAGCCGATCCCTTCCACGCAAAGCACTCCTCCCACCAACAGCAGAGCTATATTTGGGAAGGGGGAAGGAACTGACTTGATCCCGACACACCCGCGACTCCCCTTGGAGAACGCCACCATATACCGCTTGAGATGCTCGCTCTTCTCGCCCTGCAGCCACCGCTCGGGATCGAAGGTGTCGCCGTCCGGGAAGAGGGCGGGGTCCCGGTGGATGAACCACGCCGAGGCGCCTAGAACGGTCTTCAGGTTGTCAATTTCAACACTCCTTGTCCTTCCAGGGAGATAGTCGAGGGCAACGGGAGGGGGGGTTGGGGCTTGGGGACATACACCAGGCGGCAGCTTGTACCCGTTATACACGAGTGTTTCCGTCGGCGCGACGCGGGGTAGCCGGATGATGGGCTGGGCTAGCCGGAGGGACTCGGTGATGATGGCTGTCTGTTCACCGAGTTTTGTCAGTATCGTTTGGGGAAGGTTGGCAGACAATGCTAGGTGCAGTGTTTCCGCTGAAGACAGGGGGAGGGGGGAGGGAGGGAAGGGGCAGACCAGAAAAGGCAACTTCTCCAACTCGGTCCAACTCGCCGTGCTCGTTGGCGTGGGCAGTACCGTTCGCAACTCTGCCCGTAATCTCTCCACGTAGTCTTTCCTGCTGCCGAGGATGTACGCGGCGTAGGTCAAGATACTCGAGGTCGTCTCCGTGCCCGCCAGGAGGAACTGGACCGCCTCGTCCTGGAAGCGGGCGCGGGTGCGCTCGCTGGCGGGGATGCTGGGGTCCGACAGCTGCGCGAAGATGGTCGCGTGCTTCGTGGGTTTGCGGTCGGTTTCTGCTGCCGCGTCTGGGGTCGCGGACTGCGCGGACAGGGCGTAGATACTGGCCAGGTAGTCGTAAGTGGCGGCGCGACTCGGCTGCAGGGCGGCCAGCCAGCGCGGCGGGATGCGGCGCAGCAGCATGGACATGACCGGGATGAAGCGGTTGAGGTGGCTGGTCGCGGCCAGCTCGTTGACCAGGGTGCGGATCTCGCTGCGGAAGGTCGCGTCCTCCAGGAACCCCTGGCTCTCGCCGTAGGAATAGTAGGTGATCACGTCGGAGGTCATGGCGGCGAAGGCGTCGTCCAGCCGCACGATTCTGTCGGCCTCGTGAAACTCCTGCAGCCGCTGCATGAGTTTCAGCACGCAGCGCTCGGTGATCGGCGACAGCGACTGGATGGACCGCTTCGAGAAGAAGTGGCTGATGGTCGCGCGGCGCGCGTGGTGGTGCGCGTGGTCAATGGTCGAGAACAGCGAGTCCGGCATCCCAAACTGCGGGCCGTATTGCGGCGTCTTGTTGCGGCGTCGCGTGCTGCCGCTGTAGATCTCTTCGTAGAAGGTCGGGTCGATGATGTGCACTTCGTTGGGGCCCACACGGACGATGGGGCCTGGGGAGGTTAGGGAGTTAGAGCCAGTGTTGCAGAGGAGGGTGGGGAGGGCGGAGGTGTCGTACCATACTGTTTGTGCATTTTGATGAGTTGGAAGTGGTATTGGCCGTGTTGGATGCAGTTGTAGTAGAACTCGTATAAGCTGCTGATGGCTGCTAGCTTGGGGCCTGGCACCTGACTTAGAGGGTGCCAGTACAGGCGGTAGACGGTCCGCAGGACGATATACGCCAACAGCCCGATCCCCACGCGGGAGACATTCGTCGCAGTGAGTAACTCCATGTCGGCATGCATTGGTGTAGACCACAAGTTGGTGGGAATCGTCGCGCGGAGAGCAGGTATATATAGCCCCCCTCCATGAGTGCAACACGAGTCCAGACCGACGAATGACCGGCTAAATCTGTGAGACTTAATCTGGACCCCAGTCACGACGGTCGAATCACCGGGTGAACAGACCCTTACCATGGATGCGAGATGGTTTCCCCGCGGAGTGAATGCTTCGGTGTAGCCCTATCATCGTCGTCGGATTACTCTACCCCGCCTTCTGCATCGGAAGATAAGGCCATTGTGCAGCGCGGGTCCAATCTCGGCGTGCCCTAAGCTGTAGGTCACCTTATTCTAGCTGCATGTGACGACTGCAAGTGTTGCAGACGATGCTACCTCACGATTACTTAGTATGTATTGACAGTCCAAGTGAAACAGCTGAGGGTTGTCCGACCACGTCATAGCCGCGGGGTTGATTGACGATCAGTGAACGGACCGCGTGCTTGCTTCCCTCACCCAGCAGAACCAACACAACTTCCTTCACTTCCTATCCACCACTCACCTACACCACCACCAACTACACCAACACCTCTCCACATCCCAACCTAGACAAAAAAGAAATGCCCTACCCTCGCCCCGACTTCACCCGCCCAACGCCAACCTGGCACACCCTCAACGGGCGCTGGACCTTCCGCTTCGACGACGGCGACGAAGGCCTGACGCAGCACTGGGCCCAAACTGGCCTGCCCCCGTCCCCACCAACAACGACCATCACGGTGCCCTACGCCTTCCAAACACCCGCCTCGGGCGTCAACGCGCAGGACACCCACGAGATCCTGTGGTACGAGCGGCTCATCCGCGACAACCGCACGCCCGCGCAGCTGGAAAGCGGCGACCGGCTCCTCCTCCGCTTCGGGGCGGTGGACTACGAGTGTTCCGTCTGGGTTGGGGGGGTTTATGTGGGATGTCATCGCGGGGGCCATGTTCCGTTTGATCTGGATATCTCGGATGCAGTTACCACTGAGGAGAAGGAAACGAACAGAGTGACGATCCGCGTGCGCGACTCGCCGACGGACCTGACGCAGCCTCGCGGCAAGCAGTATTGGGGTGCGGTGTCGGAGGGGATCTTCTACACCCCGACGAGTGGCATTTGGTTGGATGTTTGGGTCGAGGCTGTTCCCTGTTTAAGAATTGGGGGGCCTAGTGAGGGAACCGTGCTGCGAGGGGATGATATTGACGGTGGGAGGTTGCAGGCGAGAGTCGCGGTGGTGGGGCGGAGAGCTGGACAGGCAGCGGAGGTGGAGGTGGAGACGGGGCTGGGCGGGGTGAGGGTTGGTTCCGTGCGGGCTGCGTTGGGGGATTCGGATCGGGTGAGTCTGGATGTGGATATGCGCATGAAGGATCTGGAGGTGCTCGAAGGGAAGAAGGGGCCGTGGGAGGTGGAGGGGTGTTGGCGCGGTGGAGTCGCGCTGTGGGCGCCGGAGCATCCGGTCCTTTATGATGTGACCATCCGCTTGTTCGATGCAGACGGGGAGGTGGTGGATGAGGTGGTTACGACGGCGGGAATGCGGCGCATTGACTGGAGAACCGGCGATGGGACGTTCCGCATCAACGGCAAGCCGTGTTTTCAGGTGCTGGTGCTGGATCAGGGCTACTGGCCTGACACGGGGTTGACGCCGCCGTCGCAGGAGGCGCTGCGGACGGACATCGAGCTGGCGATGAAGATGGGGTTTACCGGGTGTCGGAAGCACCAGAAGGTCGAGGATCCGGTGTTTGTGTACTGGGCCGACCGGCTGGGGTTCCTGGTGTGGGGCGAGATTGCCAATGCGTACGAGTTCAGTGATGAGTACGTCGCGCGCTTCAATAGCGAGTGGACGGAGGCGGTGCAGAGGGATATCAACCACCCGTCGATCGTGGCCTGGACGCCGTTCAATGAGAGCTGGGGGTATCCTTCATTGAAGGATAATGTTCAGCAGCGGAACCACATTCGTTCGGTGTACTATATGACTAAGTGGGTGGTTGCATGGTTGATCTAGAACATTGACTGACATGGCAGAACCCTCGATCCTAATCGTCCCATCAACGACAACTGCGGCTGGGAGCATGTCCTCACCGATCTCACTACCTACCACGATTATACCGATTCTACCGAGCTAGCAGCCACCTGTGCAGACCTGCAAGGAATCCTGGGCCCTAAGGCTGATCATGATATGTTTGTGCCGGCTGTGGACGGCGATGCAGGCGCCAAGCATACACCTGGCGCTCCGGTCATTTGTTCCGAGTTTGGCGGAGTGAACATCACTCCTGCCCAGGGCACGACCGCAGGGGAGAGAGACTGGGGCTACACGACGGCGAGTGACCCCGAGGACCTCTTGGCTCGTCTGGAACGGTTGGTGATGGCGGTCGTCAAGGGGGGCCACACGTGCGGGATGGTCTATACCCAGCTGTAAGTCTATGCTAACCATCTATCCAGGCAGAGCTCGCGTCTGCTGAACTGGGCTGATAGACAACCAGATGTGACATCGAACAAGAAGTGAACGGGCTCTACTCGTACGACCGCCAAGAAAAGGTGCCCGCGGCGCGAGTCAAGGCCATCATGGATGCCGCGCAGCGATACTACCATGAGCACGTAGCGCCGAAATAGACATACCTAGTCCCTTAGATGAAAATTAGAAGACATTACTCCATCAAATGCGACCACGAAAATATGCACTTATCACCCCATTACTCCCTCCCCTAAGATCTCTCCCTCCTGCAT